AAAAATGAAGAAACAAAAGCCTAAAAAAGCGCATATGCAAAAGAACAATGAATTTTCGTAATAACGCAATTAACTCATAAACAACAAACTTTTATGGCCAGTCGTGCTGGTTTGCTGTTCGCCACCGTCGAGATGTTCATCGCCATGCCAGTCGGTCGGGAGAGAAATTTTGACAGTGCTTCATTGATCACCTGAGAAAACGATCCTACTTACTGTAAAGCGCTTCGTCTGTCGTTCTGCTGTCTGTCGTTCTGTTGTCTGTCGTCTGTTGTCTGTCGTCTCTCGAGGACCATGATTCCAAATTCAGTCGCAACACGGCTTCAAAACTGGGGTGTAAAGGTGGCTAGAGATGTGCATTGGCAAGTTAGATCGAACTAGCGAATCCCCGATGGGCCGGCCGTTCTCCAAAAAAATGCAATGCTTTATGAGAACATTTATAACTCGGTTTGGAGAAAGCCAACAGAGCAGAAAAAGTTGATGTAGGGGAAGCATTGTCGAAGGTGTCTCCAGCACGAATGACGCCAGCGGAGGACCGCCCACAATGGGTGGAGAGTGAGTTGAGCTGAAAGCTACCTTTCAAAAATGAGTGTAACTTTGTTTGAAAAGGTTTTAGAATGCGGGGAAAAAGTGGTTCGAGGTAATAGAACAACAAATGGACAAATTCTCGAAATGGGCAGGGTTGGCACCAAAGTGTGCTGGGCTTACATAGATCAAAATTTCTCAACTCTGCTCAGAAACGTTTTAGAATGTGGGAAAAAAGTGGTCAGAGGCATTGGAACAAGTGTGGTTGAGTCCTCGAAGTGGAGGAGCTGGCACAGGGAAGTGGGGCTAAGGCCAAAAACACATTTCTTTGAAATTTCTCTAGAATTCGGAGAAGTTTGTAGGAGCAGTTAAAAGACGGATGGTTAAGTTTTTACAGAGGAAAGGGTCTGCACTGAGGTCGACGGGCTATGATCAACAACCAATAATTCTGCTCAGATGAAATCTATCTAGCGTAATGCTCTCAGCAGTTCAGCGTTCAAATCTGGAGAGAATTATCTTATTCTGATGACCCAACATTCCGCAGGATGACTGCGTCGTAGACAAGCGGTCATCGACATATAATGCACGCGTTTGCGTGCATAGCCCAATTTTTCTTATAGTAACTTGGTTTGTTCGTAAATATCACTTAATATTCGAATGATGCCACAGCTACTAGTGCAGCTCAGAGAGAAAGGCCTGGAAAGTTGAGGAAGTTGTCAAGCTTTGAGTCAAAAGAAATGGCGTGATCATAGCGGTGATAATGTCTCTCAAAGATGCCGTTAAAGTCTGAATAAAGGCTGTGAAAACAGGCGCGAAAGAATAGTACTGGACGCTAACATTCATGTACGCACAGCATGTCGGCTACCCCGAATACCAAGAGGATGGAATCTACCTGAGCCTTGACGATGCCATCAAATCAGTTTTCGAAGAAGGCTGTCTTGTCCTGTCTAGAGAGGAGAAGTTCGCATTTCAGCCAGCGAAAGCCTGGCATCGGACTATTGAGGCATATGAGTGAGGGTTGTGAAGGACTTCGATGCAATTTGAGGAGCGAGGTGAGGCGCAGAAATGCTGGCTTGTCACAGTTTTAGATAGAGGTGACGGCTGTCCCATCACATTCTGGACAAAGGATAAGGCCCAGCGTGCAGTATGGAAGATGAAGTTTGGAAAAGCGACTAGCCTGACCTGAGTACCAATCAAAGCTTGGAAAAACTTCAGAGAGCACGGGAGCAGATATCTCACCCGTTCCAGAACACTTCGGTCGCTGAAGAAGTCTCAATTACCTCGAAGAGCGGTGCTAGCGTTCCCATTCTCACGAAGTACTGCGCAATGAAAGGCACTCAACTATCGGGGTGTCAACTGCTCACAAAATGAAGCTGCGGAGCCATCAGTCGAAACAACTTGCACTTATCGTGCAGGCGCACTTTTCTTTCATGCTAGAAGGACTTACAGCGGAGCAAGACAGGTGAGCGAGCACTGAAAAAGGCGCACAAGCACTGCTGCCTGGACTTTTTGACCTGAAGATGGCCTTAACCAGTCCATTCAGTTTTCTTCCAAAGAGCGCCCCAAGCACGAAACTCCCCAGAATGCATAATNTAGGTTCAATACTGTCATACGCACTTCTTACGTCTCGAAGGCACCGAAGCGTGCAGAGAAGTGAAGATCCTATCACAGAGGTGATAAGATCACGCCGCGCACATGACCGATACCCATTACGATTGGGATTAGCTCCTGTTGTCGTATGCATGTAACGAACGACCGCAATGGGAGTTGGAAATAAATTAAGAGTTTCCCTTCTCCGAGCGAAAATCATAGTTCTCGAATCTTCTATTCTTTTGCAAGCCTAATCTTCAGTATTGTTTCCTGCGCTTTTAAGTTTCAGTCACCTTCTTTAGTTTTTAATGCAATTGTAAGTGTGATGAAAACGAGGCACGCCCAATCGACATGACAGGACGCAACAAGAGCTTAAAGATTGTGATCATAAGCAGAGGTGCCCGTGTTTCAAAGACCTCGAAGGGGCAGCACCATTTACAATGGAGCACACATGTTGCAAATGTAAACAACTAGCCGTGATCCAAGGAAATTTCTTCTTATTGTAACTTGCTCATTACGCAAATGAACATGACTGAAATCTCGTCCAAATGTCTCTCCTACCTCACCTCCGCCGTCATAACCCCACACAACATCCTCTTTTGATCGATTCAAGAACAATCGCATTACGCAAATTTTGCGCATTTTCGCACTTTCTTTGGCACCAAAGCTTTATTCTGGGCAGAGGTGCTATAGTGGCAAGGGGCGCACTCCAACAAATATGGTCACGGGTTTGAATCCCGGATCGATATCCGCTCAGACCAACCAAGCCTTCCATCAATCCGGGGTCGATTAATTGGTACCNCAGAGATGGTCTCTGAGATTACACGGATAGCACAAGAGACGCTGTCGAAAAACGGCCTAGATAGAACGTGATAAGAGCCCCAAAACTGTTTTAGCTGACGTCCGCGGCCATAGCGGACGAGTTATCAGGGCGATTTAGGGTTTATAAAAGTTGCTGTTCGGTAACCGGGCACATATTTAGATGCAAAATCGGTGGTGTAGAAAACTATAAACAGAAACAGAAATACGAGAATACAAGGTCTTCTTAATCAGTGGCTTCTATGTTCGGTAATGAATCATTGGTTTTTATGTTCGAAAAGGTTATGACTAAAAAGGATCTTTCGACAAAATTTCAGCATCACGTCCTTTTCATTGGTATTTTAACTCCTCCTGAACCCTGCAAACTGAACGGCAAACTGCATTCGAGTAGGTCGTTTCGACGATTATCAGTGGTAGGGGTAGGGGTTCTAACCCTCGTTCCCTCAACTTCCTATATACCTACAACGACAACTGAAAAACATATAACAAAATTTCTACTAACATAGTAAGAAGAATCGAGCACAAATTCATGCACCCAAGCGGCAGTTGAGATGAGGACCGGTTTTTAGGCTTTCATTGCTCCCTATCTATCATAGATCGCTCTTTGACTCGACGCGGTTCCGTACCTTTTCCTAGCTACCATGGATTCCTTTCACTAACAGTGAGGAAACTCCAATATAAATTTTGTCGCGAACTGCGTTTTCGAAGTCTGTATTGCAGGAAGAGACGGAATGCTTCATTGAGATCTTATCACCGTCAGCGTTCTGCAAGCTGAAACGTTTATAGAAGCTGGTCACGTTCTAAAAGAAACCGTGGTACATTCTGAGGAAGCTCTCTTGATATTAAGCATAACTCATGTCCCAGAATTACTCTCCAACACAAACCAGTTTCAGCAGAAATCGAACCGACCTTTTTACTCTGCTCTACCGTTCCTTTGTCGGCTCGATGCACTTCAACAGTCTTTTTCTTTTTTTCTTTATTGAGTAGCAGTCTGAAAGCTTTTACAGAAAAGGTCTACCAAAAAGGAAGGGTTTTTCACCACACTGGAGCTTACCTATTTATTCGTTTAACCAAGTCCCACTCAACTATTTCGGGTATCAATGGAGGTGGAAGTAATTCAACCTCCCGCAAATAGTATGGATGCTGCGTTGGTATTGTTGCCTGCAGAAATCTGCACTTTCCAAAGTAAAATATTGTCACTTGAAAAGTAGAGTAGAATTTATTATATCATCGTGTGGTAACTATGATCCGATCAACATTTATCAGTTGAGACCTCGGTTGCCTGCCGCAAATCTCGCTGTTCCGGTCGGCGAGGAGTAATTATTGTCTCGTAGGATATTGTTCCTGATGAATTGGAGTAGTTAGACAGTAGATCAGGATAGTATTCAGACACCTAAACACAGCAATCTTACTGTTACACCGCTAACCATCCAATTTTGAACAGTTTGATCTTCCATCATGAACCAGAGAACTGAAAGCGGATATGCTTCATGAAACTAACTGCGCCACCTGAGATTTTCGACCAGCGGCAGTGAAACTGTCGTTTCCTATGGTACGTGTCAGTGTGGGCCACCGTCCCTTATTACCAAACAGCCTGGAGCTTCTACTGTTGCTCCCTAGCAAATTCTACTGGATTTCGTTAATCCTTTTCTTCTCCCAGGCTTCGATTCCCCACAGCTAGAATGCAATGCTGGCTCGGCGACGCAGCCAGTCTTTGTTAGTGTAGGTGGTTCTATATACAAAGCTTCTGATGTGACTTCGGTTTCGACGAAATTTTAATCTTTATCGCATCCTGTTCTCTGTCTTGAAAGTCCATGTGATCGATCTTCATGTCTTAAAAACCCTCTACGCACCATATAGGGTGATCCAGTGGCCTTCTTAGCACGTGTTCATACGTTCGTGCGCTTTTTTAGCAATGCAGAGGCTGTTCCCACGTCTCTATGCAAAGGCTGTTCTCACGTCTACCCTGACGTACTAACTTTTTACCGGTCCAGTCTAATCCAGCCCCATGAAGCAATCTCATCCTATGAGAAAAGATGAATTGAGTCGCCAGCTGTTATCGCTTGCCATCAGTCCCTGTCGCCAACCATCCCGATGAAGCTCACATCATCCATCAAAGTTAATACTATTAACACGAGGGGTGTTAGGGTTCCTGTGGCTCTTACCCTTTCAAACTTCTTATCAGTTTTCATGGATAGGTTTCATTTCCTAATACCCTCCATAAGTGTTCCCATTCCTTCGAAATGCTACTCAACGATTCAAACAACGCTCTATTTTCAAAAGATATGAATTCCTGAGCAAACACACACACACATACACAGATACACACAACACACACACATGTAGCTTGGAATATCGAGTCGTAGATGATTACGTAAGACGGATGATCTTCAAAACAAGCAAACCAAACTTACATATTCCCTACGAGCGCTTATTATCTTCCCTTCCTCTGCCATGTTTTAAAGTGGTTTTTCCTGTTGCGAAGCCTGTATTGAATAAGTATTCGATAAATGTCTGTAGGGAAAACGACGCGGTGAGGTTAAAGTGAATGTTCCAACATCAAAATCCTGTTCGGCGCAGAAGTTATGGAAGCCTGTAGAACAGACACCCAGGTTTCAAGAAAGGCGAGTATGAAATTTATAGAAATCATTGTCGAAGAAGAGAGAATCATGAATGAGAATGATCATAGATGAGATGAGCTTACTCAAAAAATTATTGCTCCACTGGATTGTGAGCACCGGTACGGGCTTTACCACCGTATAATTGGGAGGCCAGAACCGCCTGAAGAGCAGCTTGAATGAACCTCCGCCTCTTCACCGTGAAATTTTATCTAGTGACTTATATCAGTCCAGACTTATCGTTATTATTTCTGACATCTGATGAGCATAGCTCCGGCACATCCCTGACACTAACCAATAAGATGTGTATGGTCTGTTCTTTATCACTGGCTGAACATTTTTTTCGGTCTGTCTATCTGCCTCTGTGTGTGCAAGATAACTATCGAAGGCTTACTGCGCGCACGCATAAAACCCTGTTGATTCTAGTTCAGCGCACTGTACCGAAAGTTGATTACTGATGACTCTGCTATGCTTCAAGCATTAACGAAGCAGTGCAGCCTCCCTGTGGTGCACAACGAGAAAATGGGTTGCAGTTACAGAAAAGAATCAGAGCTCGTAAAGGTAACAGGTTACAGAAGAAACTTAACTCGTCACGAATTTTTTCATAACAGAAGGCCTCAATACACAATCGGGTTATGTGGGGTTCGGCAATATGTAGGGAGTGGTATCACCTGTATTACCTATCGTCTCGTTGATCATCGATTTCGTCGACTGGGCGCCAATAACGTCTCCATTCTTCCCTGTCACAAGACAGAGTAGTCCAGTGAATCGTCCTCGCTTCAGTACCCAAGGATTCGCATTCCTTTCGCTCAGAGCTTCCGTGAAGAACTTTAACCATCGCGTTAGTGACCATCGTGGTGTTCGCTTAACGTTCCGAGTTATCAAGTCGGTCACCGCTATGGTCCAACGGTCATACCGTGTCCGGTCCACCTGATCTTCAATAATCAACGGCATCCCTGATCTTCGTTCGATGACGGAGCTCGAAATTTTGAACTTCCTTCTGTACTCGCGTGCATGGGGGGACTCCGATCCTCGAGCTTTCCAAAGCGCGTTTATCAACACTGACAGCATGCTAATCTTGCTTTCATAGAGTCCAAGACATCGAAGCCTACGTCAAAGCAGGAAGGGCTGCAGTGTCGAAAAGGCGAACGAGAGAGACATTCTTTGTCTTCTTCACTACTCCCTCGATACTTTTAAATGCTCTCATCGCGGCTCGTTTCCTTATGATTAACTCCGGAGCTTCATCATGTTGACTTCCTGACCTAGATACACATAGATGGAGCATTCAGAGATGTTTGTTCCACATAGCGTAAAGGGGGCATCAGGTACTCACCCGTTCCTCATGAACATCGCCTTCGTTGAATTAGTCAAGCCGTTCCATCGCCTTCGTTGAATTAGTCAAGCCGTTCTTTCCATGAGCTCTATCAAACTAGGCCAGCATTCGTTTCTTGCTCGATGTTCGATGTTATGAGCACGATGTCGTCTGCAGAGCAGACCTAAACAACGGCCGTCAACCTTCACTGCCAGGCCTTCTCACTCCAAGTGAAGCATGATATTCTCGAGAGCGGCACCGAAAAAATTGGGCGAAATTTTATAGCTCGTCGGACATCTCTCTCACGTTGATAATGATTCCTTGTAGGATGGCGAAATCCTGGTCTGAAGCTGTCGTGAAGCTCACAAAGCATCCCTGGGTGTTGAGTAGGAACGCCCTTTGCCAATTACTGGTTCGTTTCGACGGTATCAAAGTCCTCTTCAAATCGATGATGATTGTGGGACATGGGACAGAACATTCCGTACTCTCGCGATACTAGGGCAGTGGTAACAGGAAGTAATAACAGGTGATAAGGGCTAACAAGTGATAAAAACATGATAGTATGGGGGTCATACTGTTTTCGTGTTCCGCTGAAGCTCTCTACCTCTCTCATATAGAAATGTACTGTTGAGGCGGATGCCTACGCATAGGTAATGGACAGTGATGGAGGCTAGTAAATGACGTTTTGAAGGAAAAGCGATCAAGTTCGGTTGGGCCTTACTCTCTGAAGATAACCAGAGCAACTGTACCGAAGAGTATGGGAACTCCCTCGAGGCGATGCTCTCTGAAACTGGGAAGAACTGTTGGAGCTTGATGAAAAAAGTTTGAAAGCAGTTGTCACGGAATTTTCAAAAACCTCTGCCTAAAGGTTGAGGGCGCATGATTCTGGCACATGGCGATACTGAAAAATGGTAAAGGATGAGTATTCATGGTCATAAGTGCGAAGGAGTGATGAAATTGACAGGAGGATGAAAGTCAGCTGATGTCGGTGTGTGTTTTCACCGACATGAGCAACAACGAAAACTGTTACCCTTTCAACGACTTTGAATTTCAATGATGCCCCTCATTTATAAACATAAAGAACAATTAATGATGTCTGTTTTATCGCCGATCACATTCTTATGCATAAGATGCAATTGACCTATCATGCTTACGACTTTGAATGAGATTACTTTTTCTTTCTCGGATCGCAGCACCATGTGTGTCAAAAAAGGGTATATCCCCTTTGTGATATACCCTTTGTTAACCTTCTATTAATCTCAGCGAGATTGTACTTTATCTTAGGTGTCTGTAGAGCAAAAAGCGACGTTACGCCGCGTTTTGGATCGCATCTAGAAACATGGAGGAGTCTCCGCGTGTCGCGTGCGCGGCTCACTGGGACGGGGATTCAGTGCGGGCGGCTCATTGCAGTAACCCCCTGGCTTCCCCACAACCCGCTCTCCTGTCCTTGCCCAAGACCCCTTTTCGATGTGTCGTGTATGTGACGGGTCAGAATTTGCGTGTTAAGATGGGCTATGCCGTGTTGCTTACGATTAAAGAGCCAGGAAAATAAAGTAAAATACTGAATTTTCGTTTCTGTGCACGGATCTGTTCTGACATGTTCTGACATAATCCCAAAAGCTTTGAACATAATACCTACTTTTGTTGTAAAGAAAATCTGTTTGTGGTAACATGCTTCTGGTCTGCTCAACTGCTGGAATCTTGCAAAAAAACTTTACTTCACACGGCGATTTAGAAATACCCTTTTACTGCATCGGGGTAAAAAGAATAGAATAACTAACTAATCTCCTTCCAAAAGGACACTCGAATGCTGAAGATTTCTATAAGAAAAAGACCTTAAAAACATTGACAAACTCCTAAGAGTCAACCTCATCCACCATCAACAACACATCAAGGTATAACAGTTAGACGCTCAGTATAGTGTTACATATGTATTATTGAAGCAAATGATACTGTTATAGGTTCAACCGAGGAGTATCATCCAGAACATATCGTCGAGGAGTACTGTTCAGTTGACCAAGAACCGCGCCCGCGAACGTGCTAAAGAGTCCCCTTCTAGATGCGGTCCGCTTTTTGCTGCACAGGAAGGGGTCCCGCTGGCTGTTCGCACACCGCCTGCCACAACGTCTTTGCTGTCGTACTCGCCGACCTTGTGTAGTACTCGTCCTGATCCTGCGTCCTGGCAGCACTACCGTTCGCAATGCCCTTACGCGTCTATGTGCGGCACTGATAGTTATTACCCTTGCGATCTTAACTACACTCTTGAACCCAGCAATACTATGTACTGTACGGTGTGCAGGAACGTAGCTCACTACTGATCCGTGAGTATTTGCGCCCTCGAGTTCCTGTGCATCTCCTTACTCCTGACGACTCCTCGGCGTAATCCTACACAGGATGAGAGTTTCTCGGTCGACGGTTCCGCAGCATTCATTGATCCACCTCTTCATGCCTCGGAGACCTACTGGCAGGCGGTAAAAAATAGGTGTCATAGCCCTTGAGACGACAGTCCAACTTTGTGACGAGAAGTAGAAAACGTGATGAGGCGAACGTTGAGGGAGGGCAAACGAAGACGAGCATCCGAGCGATGAATGACAAAGCAAAAGTGATGGCACTGTGAATACACTCTACGCGACGGGGCTAGAGCCACCGCGGCGATTCGACGCACAGCCGGCTTGCGTTCGAACGTGCGCGTCGAAGGCTACGTGGCTAGTGCGATGACGACCCTGCTGTAAAAGAGTCGTTGGCGCCGCGATCTTTGGAAAGTTCTTGGGAACTACAAGAGGGGATTTCGTCAAAACATGAGTCGATAAAGTCGATTTGCTACCAGTCTCAGAGACTCAGCTGAGACTAGACATAGAATATAGACCTTTACCATAATTTGTACCATCTGATATCACAATGTTGCAGCGTGCTTCCACTGCACCAAAGAGCTTATTGATAACTAGTCGGATTGCCCGGCTATCGCCAAGAATCCTCCTCCTTATGTAGTAGGAAAAAAGGTTGGTACAAACAAAATGGGATTCTTCAGAGATGAATATAAAAGGAAGAGGAGGAGGAAGTCATCCCTGGCTCCGGCTAAATTATGTCGTGTGGTGAGGCGAGGAACTGACGCTCTCGTCAAATAAAAACTTTTTTGAAGAGACTGCATCGATAAATTTGACCTGAATTTCTAACAAGATTTCGGAACAGTATGTGTTTCGAACATGCGTTTTTGAACACCCCTAGGAGATTCTTCCGTGAAGGACATGGTTCCCACTGACCCGACTGGGAGTATTGTTCATTCTTAATTATAACTTATCATGTGAAACGGAATTTTCAAAGAAATATGCATTACCGACCTGATGCCACTATAGTTCTGCTATTTTCGTTGGCAAGATAAGGTAAGACAAATTATCTCTCCACGGATGTGAATCAATTTTGACCGTCTCACTAAGTCTGACACTTTCAAGTGGGTCTAACTTTTTGTAATGCATGAACCCCTTTCACAAAGATTCTGAGTCATAAAAAATGTTCGTCATTATTACAA